ATAGTATAGTATATATATATATATATATATATATATATATATATATATATATACAACGTGGCTACGCTGTGAAAAGTAGCAGCTGGTCAAATATCAGCTGCGTGGCTACTTGTTTAAATTATGGCAACTATATTTCATATTATAATTCAATATCAGTTATTAAAGTTATCAGGCAATTTGTCGCACGACCAGCCTAGCTGGTTGAGTAGCAAGGTGCTGGGAAATTATAAATGTATGGTGAACCCTGAAGATAACACGGAAACACCAAAGGTGCCCTTTATAGACAGGTGTACGACCTTCAGGTGTCCGCTAAGGCAGACCTGTACCTTTGTCGAGAACTTGCGTTTTCGATCAGAAGTCGATAATAGGGAATATATACAACGTGGCTACGCTGTGAAAAGTAGCAGCTGATCAAATTCAGCTGCGTGGCTACTTGTTTAAATTATGGCAACTATATTTCATATTATAATTCAATATCAGTTAATAAAGTTGTCAGGCAATTTGTCGCACGACCAGCCTATCTGGTTGAGTAGCAAGGTGCTGGCAAATTATAAATGTATGGTGAACCCTGAAGATAACACGGAAACCCTAAAGGTGCCCTTTATAGACAGGTGTACGACCTTCAGGTGTCCGCTAACGCAGGTACCTTTGTCTGGAACTTGCGTTTTCGATCAGGGAGTAGGTAAATCTTTACGTAAGGATCCGAGGTTCCGCTGAAATCTTTAGCCGGTAGGTTGCAAGCATCGATCACTCTTACTGTCAGCGTTCTATCCTGTAAATATTGCGAGCACGAACTCAGCCTCACACAATTACCAAGCTGTGCAGTATGTACTCGCTCGAGAGCGTGTGTGCGCGTGTGTTTGTATGTGTGTGAGCGTGCGTGTGCGTGCGTTTTTGTATGTGTGTGAGCGTGCGTGTGCGTGGTGTGTGTGTGTGTGTGTGTGTGTGTGTGTGTGTGTGTGTGTTGTGTGTGTGTGTGTGTGTGTGTGTGTGTGTGTGTGTGTGTGTGTGTGTGTGTGTGTGTGTGTGGGTGGGTGGGGTGGTGTGTGTGTGTGGGCGGGAGTTGGTGTGTGGTGGCGTGTAAGCGTGTGTGCGCTTGTAGTTTGTATGTTGCGTGTTTTTGGTGGTGTGTTTGTGTGTGTGTGGTGTGTGTTGTGTGTCGTGTGTGTTGTGTGTGTGGTTGTGTGTGTGTGTGCGTTGTGTGGCGCTCTGTATGTGTGTGCGTGCTTAGGTGTGTGTTGTTTTGTGTGTGTGTGTGTGTGTGCTTGTGGTGGCGTTCTGATGTGTGTGTGTGTGTGTGTTTGTATAAGTGTGTGCGAGCGTGTCGTGTGGTTGGTGCCGAGTTGTGGTGTATATATTATCGTATTTATTAATTTTTTTATCATATTAGTATTTTTTATTTAGATATGTGATGTGTGTGTTATGGTGTGGGGTGGTGTGTGTGGTATGTGTGTAAGATGCGTGCGTGTGTGTGCGTGCGTGTGTTTGTAGCAATAGTATAGCGGGTTTGTTAGGATGTGTGTGTGTGACTGTGATGTGAGTTATTGCTTGCGAGGGGCGCTATAGGTGGCAGTTGTGCCGGGTCGAGCGGAGTGCGTGTGTTGTTTTGTATGTGTGAGGACAGCGTAACCGTTGGGCGTCACGATTAGGCATGTGCATTATGCTATGAGTGGGACAATATATAAATATGAAGAAATACAATTACCTATACAAATATACATCGTCTATAGAAGAATGTGAATTAAGTGCTATATAGATTATACATTATCAGGCCTATAAAGAATGTGTAATTGCTATAAATAATTCACATTAACTATAAAACATTGTCGCACCTCTTGGCTGTAAATCAGTGAGAAGTGCAGGCGAGCAAGCGCGTCTCGGGTTGCTCTCATCCCGCATTATTCTCCTACAGATGGAAGGTTGCTTATAGAGCGCCGCTTTAATCTCACACTGTATCGAACACGAACAATGAAGATGCGACGCGCTGATGAAACTCGATAATCAACTGTCGCAGCCTACGTGCATGTAACAGCGGTGCCGCGCCGCCCGGTCGCAACGTTACACGCCGCTATACCTGGGATACCCACGACAATTATCTATAACGCTAGAAGAAAGTGTAACCAGCCCGTGAAATCATCAATGTTTCAGGTCCCGATACGCGAAACGCAGCTAGAAATGTCGATGGTTACGGACTGATATGGAATTTAATGTGCGTAGCTCACGATTATTATTACAGTGTATTTGGATTTAGTAAATTATTCATTAGTAGTGGCTTAGTATCATCTGAAAAACATGCCGATATTTCGTGCGCCCGAGGAACAAATAGAGTGATACGTGGATTGCGTCTCTACTTGTCTGACGAGCAAACAACGACCGTTTTGTATTACTTAAACAAGGCCGCATTATTGAGGTAATCCGCCTGGCGGTATTGACAATACAGATCATACGCCAATCTTTGTATGTGATATCACGTTCTAGAAATGACCAATGCTTAGCAAACGTAGTAACCGCACAGTTCGAAATTTTGGGCGGAGCACGCATGTGGCACGCGATGTATAAACGGGGCGAGCTTGGCCCTCTGGCCGCAGCACTATATAGTCCATTCAGATATGTAGTAAGAAAGGGCAGCAGCGGCGACGGTTGCCTGCGGGTAGGTCGATAACGAACGTGTGGCTACGTCCGATGGTACTGCGATCGACTATGGTGACCAAGCTTCTACCATAAGTAACTGCATATAAGCATACAAGAGTAAATACCATTTAGCAGATGTTACATTAGTACAGATGATAGAGTGTCTCGTAGGAGATGCGTATTGCGTTACCTAGAAACACGTTTCGAATTCCATCGATTTACAAAACAATATTATGGCTGCGTTTACAACTGTGTTCCCAGGCGGCCACGGACACGGGCGACGCTTTCAGGCACTGTGGACAAAAACGGGATGGACGGTGTGACAAACGCGGGGGGACGGAATGGAAACGTGACGGCGATGGCCGTGATTGCAGTGGATGCTGGCGGCAGATTTTTAATAGGGGGCGTGTGCAAGAATGTGTGCGCGAGTCGAGTGCGCGGGGGTGCGGATGAGAGAACGCTAGTACGTAGGGTGGGCCGTAGTAAAAAACGGGGTAAACTGCAAGCAAAAAAGTGAACAGTACGTTAATTAGGCCGTAATAGTCCCCTATCAGCTGGGGAAGTCGCTGTGTGCATTTAGTATGTCCCCAGTTGACGCTTGATTTCATGTTGGGACTATACTCCCTGGGGAGTCAAAATACTTGGGTAGAGCATTCTGAATCATGCGGAAGCGAGTAAGGTGGAAATTACAAGAATGGCGTTCAAGATGGCTGTCATTCATGTAATTGACCATGGAACCTCGCCACCTATTTATGATAGGAGGTTGATTTGGTGTGCGTATCCCCATAGTTTATGGTCAGGCTAGTCCATTAAAACGACATGATACCCCGTACCGAAAATGCATTGGCATCATTGGTAAAATCTAAGATGCCGCCGAAAGGGACACCCGTATCAATAAACTGCTAAATAACATTCTCGCAGACATTATGATAGAAAGAGTATTTTTTCCGTGTCTAATCCTATGTTTTAAGGGTCAGGTTATCCACTGAGGAGCTGAATAACCAGATTAAAAACGCAACTGCATCACCATGCAAAGCCTAAGATGGCCACCAAATATGAGCGTCATATATTGACAACGGCGAGGAGGGCAATAAATCGCTAATAATACAGCAAGCATTTACAGTATACCATGATATTATTGGTAAAGTAAACTTTAAATACTGACACTGGTGCCCTCCTGTCCTAAAGCCCACCGCGGTAACAGAGTACAGACAGTGTCATACCGCCCTAAAAAACGTTTCAAGGGTATATCTTGGTCCAATCTTTAGGCAGGATAAACTAGCTCTTGCATGTGACGAAGGAGTTTACGCACATAGCAAGAAGAAACTCATGTTGTGGCGCCGCAGGTTGAATTTCAAAATATTGTTGTGGTGTCTCGGATCGGGTTTCCATATGGTCCAAGATTTTCCTCGGGTAGTATTTGGAACAAATACTTGCGATGATATGGGATGCCAAGAATGTATTTCGATGAGAAAACGGCTATCTTTGGCCCAACGGTGACGCCAGACAGTCTTGGGTGGCTCGCATGTATGTTGCCGGTCCTTGCAGGTTATGACATTGCTATCGGAAACAATGAGAAGACTTCGCAGTGGGAAGCATTCTTTGATGAAATTGGGCATATGCAAAGTACCCAGGCAATACTGAGGGAAAATGAAAGCAAGTGTCGCTCGGAGAAGGATTGGTTAGAAAGCTCATTACAGACTGCTTGCCGATTTCGCTACCTCATCAAGTGATCCTGTTTGATGACATTTTGAGGAGTTGAACGACGGAAGAGCGAGAGAAGTGAAACATTTAGATACTGG